GATATTCTATATAAATTATATGTACATAATAATAAATTTTCATAAACTTTCATCATAAATTAGAAATACCAGTATTTATATTGTTTCTATTCGATACTCTAACTCAGAAAAGTGCTAGATTTCAAGAAATTGGGCTCTTGCAAAATGGGTTTAACTTTCTCCGCAGCACTCTAGTAGAGAGCAGCCTGTGCCTGCGAGGGCCCCGAATTCCTAAGAGATGTTTCTCAGTACTGTGTAGGCTATTCTCAGTGCTCTTTTAAGAGGCACTCAGCATCAACTTTGCATTTTTCATGGATGCGTAAATATTTAGCCTACAGTGGAGGCTGATCCTCATGAGTGACTTTGTGCACAGGCCAGAGTTTCCCTCAGCTCTAGAGTGCCAAAGCCGCTAGGCCACTTTCTAAAGGCAACTCCGTGTCTTTTGTGAGGAAGGACACAAAACCATGTGATAGTAAGAGCTGGGACTCGCGCGCAGACCGCACACTTCAGGTTCTGGGCTGCTGGCCATGTTTAATCCTGAACTGGTGACGCAGCTCATCGCAATTGGAAGCTGACGCAGCATGGTCCTCCCACGAGGATGAGGAAAGCCCCTCTCCCACCCCACCTGATGCCAACAACCACCCTGGTATATCTTTGTTTTCAGCTCTGCATGTTTTAAGTTGTGACAGCTGGGGGCTCGGGTGAACGCAGTACTGAACACACTGCTCTCTCTGCCCTCGCTTCCTTGGGGCCTCCTTTATTTCATCAAAATGTCTGTTCCACGCTACGCTGCTGATGTGCGCTTGCGAATAATTCAAAAACTTATATCAACATTTCTTACCTTAATTTCCAGAACATTTTGGTTGCCTCTTGAGATGAACACTGGCTTTTCAAAATGCTTAAATACAGGATTATTTACATAATCAAAATCAAAGTACAAAGAGCTGACACCATCAAAAATAAAGAACACTTTGGTTACAAAGGGTGGTTGAAGATTGAAGGCTTTCAGTGAAGGAGTTGTACAGCAGATTATCTCTGAGCTAGAGCGGTGGCTACATGCCTGTAAGAAAGAAAGAAAAAGGTAATGGGAGTAAGTACGTGCATAGGAAGTCACTGATGAACGTAACTGTTCTTTAACAATACATACATATTGAAAAAATAAACACCAGAGGTCTTGTTCTTCTTTAACCAAAGCAAAATCCTGATCAGTGCTACACAGCGTTTATTTAGAGCTGGGAGAAAAGTATAAAAACTTCATGTCAATGCTGTTTGCACTCTTGTTGAGGAAATGTTCAAGTAAACAAGCTTCCTGGCCTGATTGTTCACAGCACTTTTAAAGTAAATATTTTGCAGATAATTAATGGAAAATGATTTCCAAAGCCAAGGACCATCAGGAGGCTATCCTGATGTACTGAACTGTACTGGGACACAAAGCAGCCATAATTCAGTTTATCCAGCCTATGCCAGAGTGACTACCACATGGATTTCTCTTCTTTTTATACTACCAAAGCAATAGCAAGGGACCAGAGGAGAAGGTAAAAATACAGCCAATGAATCTGACTGAAATAGCGGAAAACAAAAGTAAAGCACCACTTACCCACAGCGTAGCTAAGCCACTGTGTTTCCAGAAAGGGACTATGGATGCTGTGAGAAAGTGCTTTAATGCCAAAGCCACCGTGGGATTCTGGGCCACGAAAGCTCAGCAAAGCGCATCTTCTTTCTAAAAATGTATGTGTAAGGCCCCAGACGTGCGGCATTTGGTGCTTAGGTACACAGGTGTCATGCAAGTCCCTCCTGGGAGTGTTGACTGTGGGACCTGCTTCACACTGTATCTCCTTGGACCAGCGGGGATGCCTCACTGCAGTGCAGGAGCTGCCTGACAACAAGCATGAAGCCACGCTTGCCCCTCAGTCTGCCGTTATTCCTCGTGAGGGCCTACTCTGGAGATGCTTCCCGGGGGAAAGCTACTGGTGCACCCTACACTCCAGAAGACCTGCCAGAGCATGCTTTGTGCTGTGGGACTGCGATCCAGTGTGAAATGTCTGGCCAGGGCGCTTCCCTCTATCTCATACCACCTTGACACAGGTTGGACCCAGGTCCTTGCGAAAAGGATTGCTGTGTTGCAAGGCAGGACAGCGGGGATTTGCAGGCAGCCTGATCTGAAGCTGAGTTTAGGCAGTTTGCAGGGATAATATGAATGCTTGCAGATGGGATTCATCCAGCCTGCATCCAGACACCTGCATTGGAGTTAGTTGTCTAAACTGCCTTTGTGGCCAACAGAGGGAAACAGGCTCACCTAGAGTGCGATTCATCTGATACATTTTAGACACAGCTTTAATTAGATTAACGGTGCTCTAGAAGGGTCAGCTTCTCTCTCTTGACTGTGAAGGTTTCTACATGACTAACTTGATTATAATGTCAACAGCACATCTACAAGCATCGATGGGAGGCACGGTGGGTGCTGGGCAGCATCACGCAAACCGCAGAGTGGCTTGTTTGTGACTGTATTGTGTACTCCCTTCGCTGTGCCTCCCTTTCATGCTGCCTGCCGTGGATATGGTTGAAGGACTTCTGGCACAAACAGAGTTGCTTCAGCTCCGTAGAAGTATTTCTCTTCCAACTGTATAAACCTTCTGTAAGTAGTTCCCTGTACACTGTGCCCCGACAGCAGAGATTACACTTTTTTTTTTTTATAAATAGAGTGGCTGACATGTGGCCTGGTAACAATAGGGCTTAGCTCCTAGTCATCATAAATCTTATATTTGTTCTACAAGAAATCTTGCTGGAAAACCAACAGTGCTGTTGAATACATTTGTGCATCTACAAAAGGCCAAAAATATATTTTTTTCTGTTTTGTTTTTCAAATTAAATTGGTTCTCATTATAAAATGCTGCCTGAAGGAGCTGTGAAATTAGTTTACATTTGTCTCTAATATGCTAAATTAATGCAATGTAATTTTGCTGTTTCAAATCAGTGACATAACTGTTCAAGCTGTATCAGTTATATACTCGCATTAACTTGAAAAGTGGGATTAAATTAGCCATCTACAAATCAGCACTTTTTCTTATCACCACACCAATTCATGTTTCTGTGCATAGTATTGTAAAATCTTGAATCTGCCAAGAGAAACATTTTCAAGGCTCTGAAACTGAGTGCTAGAGATTTAGAGCTCTACTACAAGGGTTACATGTCTGTGAGCTGTGAGTTCAGCACTCAGTTAAATAACTTGGTGCAGCTCTGAGTGATGCTAATGGGACTTGCACCTGTGTAACTAACACCCCATTTAGATTCCTAGCACAAATTCAGAAATATTTGTGCATCCCCCATGACAACAAGGTAATCTGTGGGACACAAGACAAGGCAGAATTTCACTCCATTTGTTTACAGTATTAGACTGTTCTTCCTCTTTTGAATACCTTGTTATATACCATTTACCGTATCTCAGGCTTTCTTATATCACATGGATCTAGAAATTCATTTGAATCAGTATGGGAACAATAAGATGCATCATTAGTATAATGTATGATCAAGCCATACTTTTCCATGATATATGAATATTCATAAAGATATCTATCATATTGTGTCGATTCTAAAAACTGATTACTAAAATATATATAATTATAAAACCAAATATGTCCCAGGTAATCATTACATTTATTTGATTAATTTAAATTCATTAGACTTTTTATCTACTGTAGAGTAGTGATGTCCCTTAAATGAATAGCAGTGGTATTCATAACTTTGTTTGTGGCTATCTATTAGAATCAGATACTTTACTTTATCAGGCTGGTCTGTGAAGAGGAAGCTTTCAGAAAATGATAAAAATCTAATAATACTCTTTGGAAGGGATGCAATGTGACTGATTGGTAAGGTCAAGAAAAATCTTATTTGCAATGCCCTTATTGGTACATGATTTGACATGACATTTTTACCTTGAAATTGGTTTTAGCAATTGAAGAATATGACGGTTTAGTTTTCAAGAAATATTGGATTGAGGATCTATAAGAAAAAAACTCTAATTCAATCTATTGCCTTCTCAATTAAGATACTGCCTATCACCCAGCACCTTTAACTTTTATTTAATTAGGCTTTAAAGTACATTCACTTTAAAAGCTAAGCCTACATTCTTATTGTGACTATAATCTACATCTGAAGGCAATAAGGAAGAAAAGATTTAAAAATTATGGAGCATTTCACAAGCATAAGTAAATACTATACCCCAAAGGGAATAATAATCCATTGCACAATGCATATGAGTCATCACTTAAAGGTATGTATTCTTGTTTCATTTGTAAAATATGACCCTTGAGGCAATTAATTCAAACCTGACCTACAGAATCTGAACTTCGGTGCCCAATTCAATCTTTTTTCATCTGATAGAATAACAGGAAAAGTATGAGGGAGGATCTCTGAGCCCCAGAGGTCTCCCAGCAGCTGACCCAGATAAGAGAGGGGCAGTTGGATGTGTATTACAGGATCTGTAGCAGTCAGAAGGGAGAAAAGGGCCAATTTGTCCTTTCATACAAAAGTAAACTTTTGAGGAATGAAAGATGAATGAGGTTAAACACAGACCAGGAGACTCTCCAACCATCTTTGCCAAAGGATGATTTCTCATTAGAAAGAGATGAGAATTCAGATCTGACTTGAGCCTATTCAGAAGGCTTTTCTGTGTAGGTGAGAAACTGAGCAGTGACACTCAAGCAGGGTATCTTGAAGATTTTTCAGAGAACTCACTGGCTTTTGCTGCCATTTCAGGTAGTGCAATGAATGGCCCTAATGGATCGGTACCATTTTTATTCTAGTTTCCTCTTGGATGAAGACATGTGAGATGATACTTCCAGTCTATCAGATCATTTGACCACAAGGTAGATTAAAACCTCTCTTGCTCCTGGGTCTGAGAGACAGCCCTTCGCACAACACGACCAATACTGACTGGGAGTCTAAATTTCTCCCTGGGCTTGAGATGGTAAATGTCCCTGCTAGCACCACATCCCTGGCACCCTGGTGATTTCACAGCATGGGCTTTTCC